ATTTGGACTATGGCATGTGGATCAAAGTACCAGGTGAAAGTGATGGCGAATGTAATGGCGGTCCTGCAGCTGGTGATTTTTTTGAAGAGGCCTTTCAGAAGCTGTGGGATCAAGGGTATTTGGTCCATGAGCTTGGTATGAAACCAATTGAGAAGACAGATTCGAAGGACGACGGCGGAGTTATCCAGTATCCACCTGAAAAGTCTGGTCTTTCCATAACGGTACAAGTCAACAATCCGTCGAATACTGTCACTCCTACGCCCGTTCCAAACTCTGCATTGGATGGCACTCAAAATGCTCTCACGGACGTACCAAATGACAGCGCCCCATGGGTACAGAACTCGAATCCTGCTTCATCGGATACTACTACCTCCCAGCTGGCTCCAACTAACGGCGATCTACCGTGGGTTCAGAGCTCTGATCCTGTCCCTTCAAGTAATGACGTTACTCAGGCAGCACCTTCAAGTAATGACGTTACTCAGGTAGCACCAACCACCGGCGACGCCTATAAGTGGAAAGCAATCCCATCGATCTTTCAAACTCTACCAGACACTAGCGTGTCGCACGTGACTCAAAAAGTTGACACCGTCGAAGATACGGTAAATAAAAACGCAAACGAGATCGCCAATACCGATGTGACTCAGATCGGCGTACGTAGACTCTAATGATGACTGGTACGGAAGTTTAACCTTTGTGGAAAGCTTCAGGTCAAATGGCTTGGATGAAGCCATAGAAAATACTGCATGGTTCTGTTTGTATGACATAATTCTTGACTTTTCGAATTAAAGAATTTGTAAAGCTTTCGTTTTCAAGCTTTTTGGTATTCACCTTAAATTTGAAGCATAGCAACGTAAATTTTTTTCATGACATCTTCCATCGACGTATTCAAACTTGATTTTTGTCGAAGATATCGTTGTAAGGGTGTTTGCATGAGCTGTAGTACATTTCTAATTCTTTTTTTACTTCGTTAGCCTTGGAGACGCTGGGTCAACATCAATTGCCTATGGTAGGCATTTATTCTTCGCATGACATTGACAAACTTTAACCTCGTTGGATTTACTTCGCTTCTACTTCTTCGAAGAGTTCGGATGCATTGCAGGCCATGCATGGAAGAATGGATAGCAGAGCATAATAATATGACAAGAGATATCGTGAGAGACAAAAAGTTTTCTGTTAATGTTTCTCTGTTCTTTCGATCTTAGCGCCCGCCTTCAGAAATCACATCAGCGATCGACTTGGAAATCTAAGGAACTATGGGTGTTCCAAGCAGAAATGAGTGTGATGTGGAGCAACTCAGTCCTAAGATGCGCGTAAAGTCAAAGCGAAAGCCGTCAAAGGCGTCTGGACTCACGGGACCTTTGAGCTCATTGGGCGCAGTCTCATACGGCCCGGGATTCGGAAGTTTTAATGGGCATATTTGTACTAAATCTTTGCTTAGAGTTGAAAATGCTTTAGTCTTGTCGTCTACAATCCAAGGGGACTGGACTTATCATAAGAATACTCCTCAAATATTCCATGACGCTATACTCATGACCAAAAGATAAATGTTGAGATGAAGAGGTAGGCTAGAAGGAATATTTATATGATTGCATTTGTTCTAAGAAGACTCGCCAAGAAGCTCATATTTGAAAATAGAATTCTATCGTAGTTTTACAGAAGAGTTTCTGTATTTTAAAAGTCATGGATCTAGTACAAAGAGAGTAAAAGCATAAAAGCAAAAGTAACGTGGTTCTAATTTGCGTTCGAAACGATGTACAGCGAAGGTATAACGACATCGGCGGCGGAAGGTAAGTGCATATGACAAAGCTAGTGGTCTTTAAAGAAGGACTGCAAAACGCTGCTGTCGCTGAATTTGCATTGATTGGATTGAATGGAACTTCTACTTTGATCGTAAATTGTAATGGCATTTAAATATGCGGATGTTCCAGCTTTTATAGGAGTGAGAAAGCTAGGTAGAACAAATGAGTTGTTAAGATTAGACTTTGCAATCAACGTGTCCGTCATACTTTCTATCAAAACATTAATCAGAAATATTGACTTTGGTGACGTTTTAACATGCACATACCCTTACAACACTCTTGTGTGAAGTAGAGAACATTGATCGATAAATCATTTCTCATGCTACAAGAATCTGATGTCTCAATGAACATCAAACTCCGCTGACCACAATTTGTAGTTTCATAACCAAATTAGCTTTTGATTGATGTGAAGATCTGAGATATAATTAATATTTAATGACATGGACACAACGAGTCTAGAGTTTCAAGAGGCACTTCGAGACCATGCACGAAGTTTAGGCGTTGAATTGGACTCGGAGATTTATTTGCTTCCGCTTGTGCAAGAAGCACTTCTTGCTGAACTTCCACCAGACTGGGAACAAGGTGAGACAGAAGATGGTACGCTTTATTACTTTAATTCGACTACAGAGGAGAGTATTTGGGAACATCCATTGGATGCACACTATCGAGAGCTTATTCAAACTCAAAAGGAAGAACATGCAGCTACTTTAATCGCAAATATATCTGAAGCACCCGAAGACTCCAAAACAATTGACGTCAAGACTAGTTTGAAAACTACTTCAATAACTAGCAATCGTGATGTGTATAGCTTTGACGATATTAGCGACGAAGAAACGCCGACTCCTATCGTCTCAGCTGTAGTCTCAATTAAATCCAAAAGTAACAATTTATTCACCAAGCCACATTTGTCAGTGCCAGCTTTGAATAACAGCAGTAGCAATTTTGGCTCTTTGACTCGAAACACGCAAGAACAGCCGCAGTCGACTTTGGG